AAAGTGATATCAAGTAAACATAATAACTGATTGTTGTATATAGCTAATTGTAAGTGCTTAGTCGTTGAAGCAGTCAAGGCTAGTACCATTTCTGTAATACTAATTGTATAGAAACTTTTATCTTATTTTTAAATGCTTGCAGATCCGTATACAGTATGTTTTTAAATGTCTATTTATACATGTATACCTACTCGTAACTGAAGTTTATTGGGTTGAATTATATTTTTCATTAAAAACAAAAAAGTTGCAGATATTTATGAGAAAAGTGGGATGAATATAATACCTAAAAACGAGCAATTGTTGTTTATTTATTTATTTATACAGGCGATCTCGGAAACGGATCATTCGAATCAAAATATGGTCGCTAATTTAGCACCCACGGGCATAAGCGTCGTGGTCAAGCCGCCAAGGCACAGGATTTGCAGTCACAGGTGGCCGGGTTCGAATCCCGGTCAGATACGAAGTTTTAACTTTTTTTTGTATTTATTCAAGTTTTTAGTTTAAAAAAAATATATACTTTTGGCTAAAAACTCCTAGCGAAACTCGGTCGCCCAGGTGCTAATTATTTATTAAGCATGCGATTAGAGGACGACTAGCAATTGCCAAAAAAGAATAGCGCCCTAACCTAAAGCTAATTTTTTTATATTTTTAATTAATGCCATTCGATTTTATTTAAAATTTAATATAATACAGATAAATAAAATTGAAGTGTCTATTTGTAATGTCGAAATATCAGCTTTTTACTAAATACATATGAAAATATTTACCGTACTTATAAGAAAAATACATTTTTTTGTCTGTCTGTTTGTTCCGGCTAATCTCCGAAACGGTTGGACCGATTTTGACGGAACTTTCACTGGCATATAACTGACGTTAGAAACTTAGGCTACTTTTATTGCACGAAAGGAGCCTCCCCGAGCGACGTATACAACTTATACAACCTATACGTCCGGCGCACCCTGGGCAATCAGGAATTATTAACGCTGATTGGCTAATCCTTTCACCACGATGGCAATCTAAGGTCCACTCACAAAACCTTCTTTGTGTGTAGTCTCAATTAACATCGAAGGGTTCTCAGAAAATAAATCAGAAATTCTTTCTGATCTATACCGCAAAACACAATGCGATGTCCTTTGCGTCCAAGAGACCCATCGAGATGAAACCCAAAGTCGGCCACACATTCCTGGACTAACGCTCATCGCCGAGATCTGTCATCCGAAGCACGGTAACGCAGTGTTTGTTGCTCCCGGCGTAAGCATCCTATCCACCAAATGTTCAACCCAAAATGGCATCGAACTAATCACCATCGATGTTGGCAATTGTACAATCACATCGATTTACAAACCTCCTGGGACCAGTTTTCAATTTGACCCTCCAGAAAATTTTAACGACCAAGCCGTCAAAGTTGTAATTGGGGACTTCAACAGCCGCAGCCCTAACTGGGGTTATATTGATCCTGATGCGGATGGACAAGCAGTCGAAACATGGGCTGAGACAAACGATCTGTGCCTGTTACATAATTCCAAGCAACCGGCTTCCTTTAATAGTGGTCGGTGGAAACGTGGGTACAATCCTGACCTAATCTTCGTCAGTTCCTGCATCAGTTCCCAATGCTCAAAAAGGGTATGTTCTCCAATCCCCCGTACTCAACATAGACCTATTTTATGCAGCATCGAGTCCATTGTCCGACCTATGATTGTGCCATTTAAACGCCGATTTAATTATACTAAGGCTGACTGGGAGTCTTTTGCAAGTTCCGTTGACGACGCCCTCTTAAATGTGCTGCCAACCCCAGTAAGTTACGACCAATTTGTCGAGACCGTACAATCCTTATCCCGGAAATATATCCCAAGGGGCTGCAGGACATCTTACATACCAGGATTGTCGACAGAGTCCATTGATCTGTTGAGCCGGTATGAAACACTATACCAGACGGACCCATTTTCGGAGGCTACCACAGAGGCAGGAGAACTGCTGCTTTCTACAATTGGAAAAAACAGGCGGGAGAGATGGGTCAATACTGTCACTAGTATTGATATGACTCACAACAGTAAGAAGGCATGGAACACCTTGCGCAAGCTGACGAACGAGCCTTCTCGACCTTGTCCTCCAAGCCAACTTACCGCCAACCAAATAGCCCATCAGTTACTTCTCAATGGCAAACCAGCAGCTCGCCCCGAGAGAGTTCCTAAACTAAAGATATCTGGTAATCCTTGTGACACTATCAGCAAGCCGCTCTACCTTGCTGATGTTGTGACAGCGATTAAAGGTCTTAAGTGCGGCAAAGCCTCTGGAGTGGACGAAATATCGGTTGAGCAGATCAAACACTTTGGCCCAGTTGCTGTGTCGTGGTTGCTGCAACTCTATAACAACTGTTTGAAATCTACTTCAATACCCCGGCTCTGGAGAAAATCTAGGGTCATAGCTATTCTGAAACCAGGCAAGGCAGCAGATGACCCTAAGAACTATCGACCAATATCTCTTCTATGTCACACATATAAGCTTTTCGAGAGACTGCTGCTAAACCGACTTATGACTGTTATTGATCATAAACTAATCCCGGAGCAAGCCGGTTTCAGGCCTATTAAGTCTTGCTGCAACCAGACCCTCAAACTCGTGCAATATATTGAGGATGGTTTCGAGGCAGGAATGGTCACAGGCGCTGTATTCGTCGACCTATCTTCAGCTTACGATACAGTTAACCTAAAACGGCTGTTGTGGAAGGTGGGGACCATGACAAACGACATGAATTTTGTCAAAATACTCCGAGAACTTCTTCACAACCGTCGTTTCCAAGTCCATCTCCTCTCAGAGAAAAGTCGTTGGAGATCACAAAAGAACGGACTACCTCAAGGTAGCGTCCTGGCTCCACTTCTTTTTATTATATACACCAACGACCAACCATCTAGTCCAAACACGTCCCGCTTCCTCTATGCAGATGATCTTGCACTCACCTCCCAGGCCACCACTTTCGAGGAGGTCGAGGCGAATCTATCAAATGCTCTCACTAACTTAGACCAGTATTACTCCGCAAACTCGCTGAAACCGAATCCGAGTAAAACTCAATCCTGCGCATTTCACCTTCGCAATAGAGAGGCAGGGCGAAAACTAAGCATTGTTTGGGGTGAGGTGTCTATTGAACACAGTAACTTCCCCAAATACCTCGGCATCACTCTGGACAGGTCACTTACCTTTCGTATGCACTGCGAGAACATCAAGCAGAAAGTCCATAGCCGAAATCAAATCCTGCGTCGCCTAGTCACTTCTAAGTGGGGTGCCTCGCCTGATGTTTTGCGTACTACTGGGTTGGCCGTTTCCTTTGCTGCTGGTGAATATGCGTGCCCCGTGTGGTGCCGCTCTTCCCACGCAAAACTAGTGGATACAGCATTAAACGAAACGTGTCGTATTATTACTGGCTGCCTGAAACCGACTCCGACACCAATGCTGTACCCACTGGCAGGAATTGCGCCTCCAAAAGTCCGTAGAGCAGTGGCGAGCTCCAGCGAAAGGACTAAAATGGAAAAAGACACGCGACACCCCATGCACGACAATATCCTGGTGCCACAAAGGCTAAAAAGCCGTAAAAGTTTCATGAAGTGTGTCTTAACCACTTGGAGACGAACAACCACAGGCAAGATGCAGGACGTGGCGGGACAGTTATAGTCCTTTGCCAATCCCATTCGTTCCGCCGTCTGAAAATCTCGCGCCTGGACATAGTCTGCCTTGGCAGACCTGGAAGTCTCTCAACAGACTCCGGACTCAGGTCGGCCGAAGCAAGGAAAACTTGTCCAGGTGGGGATTCTCAGAGGGCGGCCTGGAGTGCAGATGTGGTACTTATCCACAAACGATGAGGCACTTACTGGCATGCCCTGCTTGCCCTGTTACCTGCAACTTACAGGAGCTTATGGACGCCACTGATAAAGCAAAGATCGTGGCTGAGTTTTGGGCTGACTCGATTTAAAACTTGCCATCGACACGAGAAGAAGAAGAAGAAGAAGAAAGAAGATTGTAGAAAAAGAATTATGGTTACGCTCAAAAAATTAAAACGTACGGGACATACCCGAGCGAAGCGATGGTATTTAAGAAAGTCGCCATCTATACATATAATAAAATTGTAACTAAGCCCAATATGTACATTAAATATTTTTTGGAAAAACTTATATCATAAACAAAATTCTCGATACAGAGACCGAATCTATAGTTTTTGAATTTTTGTCTGTCTATGTTGTAAGCACATAACTCAAGAATGGCTGGACCAATTCAGCAAACATTTTTTTTGGTATGTTCCTTAAGGTCCATGGAATGTTTTAATAAAGAGAAAAAATGAAAAATTAACGAAAAAGACATTAAAAATTGTATGGCTAACGATGGCTAATAACTATTTATATCTATTTAAAACGTATCTAGCGACAAACCCGAGCGAAGCGAGGGTGAGCCGCTAGTAGATAGATAAATATTATTTTTTGTAAACCGCCAATTACTTAACGAATTAAGAAACATATTTTTCCTTAATTTAACCACATTAAATGGTGATGATAATGACAATTATATTTTACGCAATCACCAAGTAATTTGAATAGTTCATTAGTAAAATTGTATAAATAAGTAATCTTGAGTAAAGTGTCAGTATTCCAATACTTGTGTTTAGTGAAAAGGTGCGTTTTACGTAGTACACAAAGAAAAGAAAATTACAAGCATATATAAGACTCAAATTAACTAATAATAATACTTTCTTAGATTTACGTGAATATTTGATATTTTTAATAAAACTATCTTTTCGAATTATTATTTTCGAATGCTTTACAGTAATCACGGGTAGGCACTGCCTGTAACAAGTACATAACGCCTTTGAGACGTCTAAAACCTTAGTAGGTATCTCCCATGACCATGATTGCTGTAAAGCATTCGAAACGATGGAAACCAAAAATCAAAATAAATCCGCGAAATCGTCCGAAAAGAAAGTTTTATCTAAGTAATAATTTTTTTTGTAGATTTTGAAAATGAAGGTAATCGTGCTGTTAGCATTTGTTGCTCTGGTAGCCGCTGAAGTGGAGTACTACAAAACTGGCAATGACCACCTCAACATAGAAGCTCTCGTCGCCAACCGCGTAGAACTCAAAGCGTACTTGGACTGCTTCAACGACGTAGGACCCTGCACAGAACTGACCACCAGCTATAAGAGTATGTGCTAATATATTTTCTAATTGTATAGACAGTAATATAATATATAATACAGAACAACATGTTAGTTTTGCCTGTAGCTTGAATGTTAATAGATTTTTCCTTTAAACTTTCTAGATCGTTATGATTTTATGACAGGTATAGAGTTAAACTTTTAAAATCCAAGTAACTGTTCTTAAAAATTATCTATCCCATGATCTTGAAATATCATAGATATTAAACTAGTATACCACAAAAACGCAATGGATAAAATTTATTGTATGTATTGTATTCAGCCATTTTTAAAGTTCCACTGCTGGGCACGGGCCTCCCTTCAATACGACGGGGATCAGGCCATAGTTCACCACGCTGGTATGTCTTTCGAAAACCTGCCTGCGTTACCACTGGGCTACAAAAATAAAATATGTATTATATAAAATATATTGTATTTTTTGTAAAAAAAATATTTAGTTTTGAAAATATCGATATAGATATTTCACTTTTAGAAAAGAAGAAACCCTTCTATTTGATTATATGTATGTACCTAATACCTTAACATCTTTCTTTTTGAGGAAATCAATAAGAATTCTCAATAATATTTACACATTTATTTTTCAGAAAATATACCTGAGGCAATTCAACAAGCGTGCAGGCGGTGCAATGCCAACCAGAAATACATGTTCTGGCGGTTCCTCCAAGGAGTCAAGGAGGCTTTTCCCGAAGAATATCTAACCTTTAGACGTCACTATGATCCTGAAGATAAATATTTCGATGCATTGGAGAAAGAGATTTCAAAATTTACGAAATTTGCCGACAAATAAATTATCATACGCAAATTTCAATAAATACATGATTTACTAGCTAAAATAATTTTTTTTTTCTTAAAATTTTGCTAACCAAATATATTTTATACTGTTTAATTGATATGAATGATCCATCATCGCCCATGCTAAACTGCTAGATAATAGATGGCTAAAATTCTGATAGCGTATTTCTTTATTGATTCAAGTACTAAAAAATATTTTTACAATTTTTTATCCCACGAGGAATGGCACATTGGGTATGGACAACGAAATTTTTCGGGTAAAAGAATAAGAAAATATTATATGTGATTTTTAAGCAAACAACGGTGTACGATGTAGATTTAAATAGGAAAGAATCTTAACACGATTTAATCCATAGAAGATTTCGATGTCTACAATATCTATATAGTAATTCTCCTTATGATTTAAAAAAAAAACGATACTTAAAAGATATTACTTTTAATATTTCAAACATGGTTATTGCTGTTATTTTAAAATAGCCTTCTTTTAAAAAAAAATACTGCTTGAGTGAGAAATACGATAAGCCCTATTGTAGTTTGTCAAGTTTGGTAGCCGTAGAGGAAAGAGAAAAGTTCTGTGGGCACAAGTACCTTCTGCCATTTCATCCAATTTTTATATTTTTGGTTTAAAATTATACTGCTAATTATAGTCAACAGTTCTATTGGAGTATAAACAATATTTTTTTATAAAAACTTTTTAACAAAAAATAAAACCGACTTCCAGGCACTAAAATGTAAAAAATAACTAAACGGGGGTTTTCATTTAGCATAGACATTTAATCAGATATTTTCGAAGTCGGTGCCAGCCGACGCATAGGAAATCTAATATATTTTGATACGTAAAATACATATTTATTGCCTATTAGATATTCATATCTTAAAATATTGTCCGCTGGCACCGACTTCGAAAATATCTGATTAGGTGTCTATTCTAAATGAAAGCCTCCGTTTAGTTATTTTTTACATTTTAGTGCCTGGAAGTCGGTTTTATTTTTTGTTAAAAAGTTTTTATTTTTAAATTTTTAGTGTAGACGTAATAAGCATGTAATTTGTAGGAAGAACGTTTTTAATAACATATTCGATTAAGCAATTTGTTTAAAAAATATATTTATTGTTGATTTTTTTAAAAACCGCTCGACCGATTTCGATAAAATTTATATGGGACCACCTGGGAAGTATGTATATACCCTTTCAAACAAAACAAAAAATTTCCAAATCGGTTGAGGCGTCTTCGAGTAATCGGTGAATATACATTAAAAAAAAAACAAAAAAAAAGATTCCGACGAATTGAGAACCTCCTCGTTTTTGGAAGTCGGTTAAAAAGAGAAATTTAAAAGGGAAACAGAAATGTACCTACTTCTTCATCAATAAATTTTATTAATCAATTTTGATATGCAATGTATATTTACAGTATACATATATATAAAAATCTTTATACTGTAAACAAAGTGCTTAAAAATTGTGATCTAATAATTTTTATATGCCTTTTAAAAGAATTCTTTAAACATAAACTTTTTGACATTTATTGATTTGAGTTTATGTATATCTATAGAATTATTTTCTTTAATCAGATGAATTCAGGAACTTTTCTATGGTTTCTTTGTATTCTCCTTTGGGGTCTTCTTTCTTGACAAGTTCTTTCCAAAGCTCGGGTAGCTTGGTTCGGAAAGCTTCAATTATTGTACGGATCAATTGTTGTTGTTTGGGCGAGCATTTCGCGCAGCTGGTCCTTAGAGCTTCAGGAATGACCTCTGAAATAAGCATTTTCACAAATAAATGTTCGTCATTCAATCAAAGCATATTGTACATTGAATGTATGGTAAGCGTAATATAGACAGTTCTGATCGACATACTTCTACGATTTGTATTTCTTTACTATACATTGTCATCGACTTTAAAGTCTTAATATTTTACAAACGTAGTGTTTTCATAGTAATAATGAATTAAACATACAGTACAGTGCCAGCAATAGTTCATATAGTAATAAGTAAAACTTCTCCAAAGATGATGGGTTTCGTGATGTATGGTACAATAAAGGCCAAAAAAAGAAATAATGTGCTTACTTTTAATATCAGCTGCTTCAGGCGTGCACGGTCCTTTGTCCAGAAAGCAATTTATAAAGCCTGTGAGAAGACGACCACTGGCAGTTATCTGTTCAACGTTCAAGTTATCGTACGCAGGGTTGTATGTATCAGCAGGGATGGCCACCACCGCCGCCAAAACAGTCGCTAATATTACAATAATCTTCATGGTGCTACATAAACAATGATAATAAAAATTATTAAAATCTATCTGTCTATATATTACTAGGCAAAAAGTAACAGTAAGTTAAAGAAAAAGGTATTAATTACTAACTGACAGTTTAGTACCTTTTTCTAATTTATTTGTCTAGCGATTTTCTTTTCTATTTTATTTATTAGCTATTGAGAAGCTTTAGTGTTACCAATAAAAAATTTTTGGAATCCGTTATTTTTTTTATATAGTAGATAAGTAAATTCTATTAACAGTAAGAAGGTAACACGAGTCATATTACATATTTTGAATAAAACAACGAGCAAGTAGCTACTAACAGTTAAGTTTTACTATTTAGTCTTTTAAATTGAAGTATTTTAAAATAGATTGATGGAAGTTAAAATAAATTTTTCAAGTATTTTCATAAAATATTGTTACTAATCCGTATTATCTATAGGTACATATAATAAAATTGTAACGAAGCCGAATCTGTATATTAAATATTTTTTGGAAAATCTTATTGAAATAAACATTATTATCAATACATAGGCCGAATCTATAGTTTTTAGAATTTTTGTCTGTATGTCTGTCTGTTACCGCATCACGGAAAAACCACTGGACCTATTTAAATGAAACTTGGTATGATGATAGCTGATTATCCGGTTCAACATTTAGGATACTTTTTACCGCGGGAAAATATCTCATTTTTGAGAAAATATACAAAAAGAGAAATGTAAGAGTATAAAAATATTATGTAAAATCTAAGAATTTGGTTTTTTACGCCAAATCTTTACGCCAAAGATGAGACTTTTTGCGACTTATGTTTGTTTTTAAATTAGTAAATAATTACATAGAATGTCCGTCACTACTATCACTAGTAAATGTACAAACACCAAGATCTGCAGCAAGAGCTATTAACTATAAACCACTACATATCCCACAACGAAAAAATAGATACGGTTCTAATTCACCACTCTCACGAAGCTTTAAATTATATAATTTTATATTTCAGTAATGTGATATAGAAATTTTTTCTGATAGTTTAAATTTATTTATAAAGAAAGTTTATTTAAATGTTTAGATTAGTTTTTTTTTCTTCTTTTATTTATTATACAACTGAAATGGCTCCTTATATACTCTTAACCACATCAAATTTTAATGGAATAATTCTATAAAAAGCTGTGCTTTTCGATACTTTTAAATTAAATTTATATACAAATAGGTAAAATTATAATGTTAAATAAATGTTTTTATGTAAATTTAGTTAGTAAGCCTTTATATTAATTAATTAATTAATTAATTTCTAAGCTATTTTGATTGCGTACTAGCTTATTTGATTGCGTATCTGGAACCTAGGCTTCGTAGCCCAAAAAATGATTTTTTCCTTGTGTGGTACTTATATATATACGTCATACATATAAGTGACAATTTATTATTATTGACATGTTTATTACATTATGTTATGAACAATAGTTGAATATTTAAAATACTAAGTTGCAGTAATAAATAACAATTTTCTCAATGTTAATTACTTTTGACCTCAAACAAAAATAGTAGTGCAAAACGTAGTCAACACAATTTGAATCAAGAATTGAGTTGCATTTGAGATATATATATGTATGTATTTAATTAGCGCTATATAACTTAAACAGCGTTAAAGGCCATGATTTGCAAAACATTTACTTTTCTTATATAAATATTTTTTACCCGACTGCGTCAAAAGGAAGGTTATGTTTTTCGAGTGTATGTATGTATGTACACATATTCTTTGGCACGAATCTAAACGGCTCCATGGATTTTAGCTTAACAGATAATGTTAGATTCGTTTTAATTGTGAGAGTGACACTGGATATATCAAAATGATAAAAATTAAAAGGTTCAGTTTTGGTACTATATTATGTCTTCAAATTTTTTGTCCCTCACAACCTATTGAGTGGAGTATCAAAATAAAGGGTTTTATAAATGGCTTACAAAATTATATGCAATTTATATATTTAAATGTGATTTATAATGAGACACATTAAAAAACAACAACTAAACAAATTACCTATTTACAAAAATAAAAAATCCGCTTCATCAACTTGTTGTCATCTTTTTAGGTCGTTCTTTACGCAGTCGGCTATTTTTTTCATTTTTGTAAATAATTAATATATTTTTTGTAAATATAAAATAATATTAATACGTACACGGTTGCATATATGTAGTTAGTTTTTTTTTTAAATACTTATACGATTGTTCTTTTATGAACTGTATTCTGATTAATATATTAGACCTTAAATTAAAGTTTACAACTTGAATTAAGTTTGGTTTAAGATAATTAGATTTTTACAACTATAAAGACATAAATTTAGGCCGTAAAGTGGAAAATACTACTTTTTATTTACCGACTTCAACAGAAAGATGGTACCGTGTTAGTCAATTTTGTCGTATATATTTTTTTTCTGGATATTTTTGCCACTTGTGATACTTTTTCATTATTATTTTTTAAATAGGTTATACATTGTTTCTAGATACATTTCAATAAAGTATTATTGAATTATTAATTATATTATTATCAATAATATTAATTAAGTTCATGATTTTTAAGATTAGTTCTTTACTTAAAAAATATTTCAGGAAAAAGGGGAAAAAAATGATAAAGCTTTCCTTTTGAAGGACAATAAAAAATATTATATATATATAATATATATATATATATATATATATATATATATATATATATATATATATAAGGATCTACGAACATATTTTTGACCGACATAAAAAGAAGGAGGCTCAATACTATTTAGTAGTATTATCTCTTGTGTAGATATGCTATGCGCTATCTTCTTAACTTATGAAATATATTTTTTTATTTATTAATTATACCCCAAAGGTGGTGGTGGATTTTAAACTATACCTTTATTTAAAAAGTATATTTTGTATTTAAATGACAGTGATTATATTACATTAAAAGACTGTGAATAGAATTAATAATACCTCCACGACCTCGGACACGCCGGCGTTACAGTTAACAATAGATTTCTTAGAAATTTAATTAATTTCTTAGAAATTTACCTGGAGATGATAAACAAAGGATACTTTCCGTTAATTTAAATTTTATTTCATAAACTGGATGATAAGCCTTTTGGACTATTTAATACTTAAAAAAAAGCCTTTGAACACCGAGTGCACTTTAAAAAAATTGTATATTCATTTAAATAAATTATTTATTTACTAATTATGTATGTATATAGGGTGACATTAAAATATGCAGTTTATATTTGTTTAAAAATTTAAACTCACCTTACCAGTTTCTTGGTGCTAAGCTGTATTAGAACTGTTAGAAGTATCGTCTAACAATCCTTTATATATCTTAAAGCAGGAAAACCTATCGAGATGAATTCATCAGAGAAGTCAAAGAATTAAAAAAGGGTAAAAAAAGCTGTGACTTAGAATTGATGACGTAGGTTTAGAATAGAACTTTGTATCTCGATTTTTTTTTTCATGTTCTTAGACGATGTTATTCGACGTTCTACTAGTTTAATTTTACCAGTTAAAACGTAAAAGGTTTTAAAATAATAAAGAAGTTTAAGTATTATACCAACAAGAAAGTTTTATAGTAATACTAGCGACTCAACCTCGCTTCGCTCGGGCTCGTTCCTAGATACGTTTTAATGGTCAGTATCGATTAGTTTTGTGTCTTTCCGTGAAAATGAGGTAACTTCCCGCGGTAAAAGGTCTCTAGCCCTTCAACTATCTCCACACAGAAAGTCACTCTGTTTCGATGTAAAGTAATAAACAAACAAACAAACAAGCAAACAAACAAACAAACAAACAAACAAACAAACAAACAAACAAACAAACAAACAAACAAACAAACAAACAAACAAACAAACAAACAAACAAACAAACAAACAAACAAACAAACACACTTTCACATTTATAATATTAGCAAGTATGGATTATTGCGTGTTATGTTAAAAGCATCCTATGCTATTTCAGGACATATGTATGTATGCTTTCTTATGTTTGGCACTAAGTTTCATCTTTATTCGTGTACCGATAAATGCGTATTTTTATAAGCCAAAAGGTACCTACTTATTCAATTTTAACAAGCTTTTTAGAATGAAATGGAAAATTACACTAGAATTTAGAATAAACACAGATAGACTCCAGAAAGGAACTGAATCTGAGTTACATAAAAAGTTATTTTATTTCCTGCATTTTGTCAAGAACATTACTCTGGTCTCTGTTCAACAATTAAATTATATAAAGACACTAATCTTCGTTTTGGTTTCACTATAATCAGTTAAAAATTTTTATTTAAGCATCTATGTGAATTAAAAAATGGCGGCAGATATGACAGAAATAAACATGAATTGTAGAATAGACAGTAAATGTAGTGACTCATGAAAGTAAATGTAGTGAAACATGCTCTGAATTTGAACTAACAACCTCAATAGACCAATCTGAATCCCTTTATTATTCAAAGAAAAAAATATTTTGAAAACCTGAAGTTTTATGTTTTTAAAATGTTAGCAGGTATATAAGGAATAGAAATTCATAAAATGCTCCCGATGCCCAGCTACCCCCGAGAAATGCGGGGACGCAAAGCGTTGAACTATAGTTTTTTTTTCAATTTCCGGCTTACTGTGACGTTCCATCAAAAAATATTTTCTACAAAAGTTGTAAGTATAGTAAAAATCTACAACTTTTATAAATAACACTTTTCACAATAACCTCAAAGTTTTCGATATAGTTGCATAAAACTCGATTTTTAACTTTTTCTTAGTTTTTTATTTTTAATTTCTAGAATAATCTTTTGATTTCTATAAAACTAAGGGAATGTAACCTTGAAAACACATATAATAAATAAAAAAAATGAAATTGAAATGTTTAGCCATTTCCGAGAAAAGTTTTATGGTCTCGAGAGGCTGAAAATCACCCCCAACTTCCAAGTGGACGTTTAAATGAAAAAAAATGTTTACTAAACTCTTTTCGTCGATTTTTTCCTGACATATTCAACTTTCAATGAAAAAGGATCCTTTTCTTTTTTATCACCAATATCTTTTAATGGATGCACAGTAGACAGTACACATTACATTAACATACATTGCAGTAACATTCAGGTATACTTTTTGGCTGACTTCAAAAACGGAACAAGAACTTCATTCGAGTGATTTTTAACCCCCGACACAAAAAGAGGGGTATTATAAGTTTGAAGTGTCAGTCTGTTATTTAAAGTCTGTATTTTAATGGGTTTTTTTGTTTGAAAGCTGACGTGATCGAGATAGTTCTTAGCTATAATTTATGAAGATCTTTTCAGGCGTTTGATGATCATTAGCTCATTAAACGACTTCCCAAAAAAAGGAGGAGGTTCTTAATTCGTCGGAATCTTATTCTTTTTTATGTATGCCACTGATTACTCGAAGACGCCTAAACCGATATGGAATTTTTTTTCTTTGTTTCAAAGGGTATACTTCCCAGGTGGTCCCATTACATTTTATCGAAATCGGTCGAGCGGTTTTTTTTAAATCAACAAATAAATTATTTTTTTAAACCAATTGCTTAATCGAACATTTTATTAAAAAACTTCTAACAAATTACCTACTTTTTACGTCTACACTAAAAATGGACAAAAACTTGAAAAAAATAAATAAAAACCGACTTACAGGAAGCCGAAAATATTTTAAGATATGAATATCTAATAGATAAATATGTGTTTTACGTATCGAAATATATTAGATTTGCTTCGCATCGCCTGGCACCGGCTTGTATCTAGTCCGGTTACCATCCCACTAAAGTATAAGAGTGACAGGAATAGAGAATGCACTTGTGTCTTGTGTCTCTTGTGTCATACAAATTGCAGGATGATATCAGTCAGATTGGCCGCCGTAATCGAAATTTGGCCTTTTCTTTATTTATTCGGTATTCTTTTTTAAATGAGTAGTTTAGTTTATATCTCAAAGAACATTGGCATGACGTCTCCCAAATAATTTTTATGACAAAAATTCCACCCCAAAGTGCAGAGTGATTGACTTTTAAAGTGATTTCTAAGTCGGTGTGCCTTTATAGTTAAAAAGTGAGGAACTGTGACATCTAGATGCATACTTTTCCTGCCAATATCAACTCTTATAGGTATAAATTCCTGAAGGCAGATTTTATCCTAACGAAACTAAAATAGTAGTTTACAAACAAACTTACAAAGAACTTTGAAAAAAAAACATCCCTTTTACTAAAAAGCTTTATCTCAGAGCTTTCAGTGATTTAAAAGTCATAAGTAATACCTAGTTTTTTAATAACAACTTCCGTAATTAAATTATCATTCACACTTAACATTTACGTATTTTCATGACGTTTAACCTTGAGACTGACACTTAATTGATTTATACTCTGAGTTATTTCGCTTAAAATTGCCAGATCAATTACCTATCCTGTTCTATGTAAATCTATATTAATATCTATATATAAAACTCACGTCCCAGACTGCGATTGTTGCTGTTTAAAATTGACCGTTTGTATCCTCGTTGACTGTATTAAATGCAAAATGGCTGAACAAAACCTCAACCAGTATTTTATGCATGGATAGAAAATTTGAGTGAAAATGATATAGGCCCCTTTCTATCCTGGAAAACAAAAATTGGTATATAATATTTTTTTTGTGGACCAGAACTATTATAATTCTATCCCTATAGGATATAAACGTTTTGAGTTTATTGGCGCAAAGTATTTAAATAAAATGAAGATGATTTGGTAGTCATTTAAAAAAAGCTAACAAAAATAATTGTCTTGGTTTGTATAAAACAAGTAAGTTACTCGTAAATACGCCGACTGCCGTTAAATACGCATTAATTCTACATCGTCAAGCGAAGAAATATGTTAGCACTTTACTCACGTCTTTTCTTTGTCCATTACTTTGACTACATAGAATATGTATGGTAAATTAAAAGATATTTCCAGTTTAACCTGTTCCAATACTGTATTTGAAAAATAAACCAAAAATATGTAGATACTAAGAGCTATTATAAAAAGTAAATTGTCTTGAGCAGTGGAATATTTCAAAAATTAAATATGTAGTTGCATATCAAGCAATCTCATTTATTTTTACTTGCTTTATGTACGATGGCTACCACATTATTAAAATTAAATACTATCTTTAATACTTACAGAAATGAGATGGTACATTTATTAATTTGTTTTTTTTTTTAATTAAAAATACCGTAACTGATCGACGTGGTTTTTGTATAGAATTCGTTTATTGATTTCCATAAACTAATAGATATTCGAGTCGAATCAAGACTCCTGAGGGCACGTAGAGTGTAAATGTGAAATCAAACCGCGAACGTTAGAGAGGCTAGCATTATATTAGTAACATAATTTCGGTTTATAAGTTAAAATTAAAAAAAAAACGACTATCTTGGACCGATTTTATTAAGTACTAGCATTGCCCGCGGCTCCGCCCGCGTTCAGATGGCCAAAAACCAAATTCTTAGGTTTTACATATTAGTATACTCTTACATTGCAGTTTTTGTAGTTTTTCTCAGAAATGAGATACTTTTCCGCGGTAAAAAGTATCCTATGTGTTGACCCGGATAACCAGCTACCATCATACTAAATTTCATCAAAATCCCTCCAGTGGTTTTTCCGTGATGCGGTAACAGACAAACAGACAGACAAACAAAAATTCTTAAAACTATAGATTCGGCCTCTGTATCGATAATAATGTTTATTTCAATAAGATTTTCCAAAAAATATTTAATGTGAAAAATACAGATTCGGCTTAGTTACAATTTTATTATATGTATAGATCAATCAGTATCAATATTATTATTAAGTTAAATTGACGCTCTTTTCTGGTTTCTATAGTATTATAATTTTATTTTCTTTTCTATTAAAATAAAATATATTTTGAGTTTGAGTTTATTTGCATCTTAAATAACTTTGATATAATTTTAAAATAAAATTGAGACTGTTCTATAAAGGTGATAAATAAAATAAATTTGTCTAGCAGCATCATAATTGTGTCCATAATTCTAAACTATCTAGAACTATGGAACTTTACCTGTTGACTATGGAAATTTACAGGACATATATTAGCAATGCTAGCAACGTAAGAGGAAGAATACTACATGGTCAAATCTATATTTAGAAGATTTAGATTGATATAAGTATCCGGGTTCGTACTTAGCTTGCAGCTATCTTTTTGATAATGAAGTAACCACTAAATGTATAGTTTAGTTACACTATATATAATTTCTAACTTATGTTAGGTTTTAATTGTAAAATAATGCTTAATAAAGTATCACATTAACTTTATATATTATTAAGTGCAACTTTTCTACAAGTTATTTATTTAATTGATCCATTGATGGAAAATGTAGATTATAAAATTACTTTAGTAGTAAAAATAGTAATTTCCATTATATTGAAAATTTATAGAATAACTAGCGGCTTATCCTCGCATTGCTCGGATTCGCCTCTCTCTCGGATAACAAAAACAAACTTATCCCACGGGAACCGTTCATTTTTTCGGGATAAAAAGTAGTCTATGTGTTTATTCCACACTATAATCTATCTCTGTGCCAAATTTCATTCAGATCCGTTCAACTACAATAGTACATTTATAAAACACTAAAACGTTGGTATGTATATGTATAATTCTTATAGTAACTTTACTTAGTAAATCCAATATAATTTGTTTTGAATTTTAACATTAAAGGTAATTTTAAATTTTAAAAGTTATTAACATATTGTTTTTACATCTCATACAAAAACATCTCAATTCATCAACATTTACAAAATCGTGCTTAATAATTTTATACGATGCACTAATAGCTTACAAGGACTGAGATTCAATTAAATTTATTTACGGTTTTTAAGCATGCCAGTAAATACGGCACATTTAATGCTTACAAAAGAGAAGTAATATCTATCGACATTTATTATACTTAATTTATTACGATTATAGCTTAGGTATTAACCCTATTATTATGAGGAAAAAAAATATTGAAATTTTTAAGTGGTAAATTCTTAGAAGAATCTATACTTACATATAATAAAATTGTAACTGAGACGAATCTGTATATTAAATATTTTTCCGAAAATATTATTGAAAATCATTATTATCAATACAGAGGCCGAATCTATAGTTTATCGAATTTTTGTCAGTCTGCCTGTCGGTGTCTGGGAACGCATCACAAGAAAACCACTGGACAGATTTTGATGAAATTTGGTATGATGATAGTGTTTATCCGGGTCAACATATAGGATAATTTTTTTCTTCAGGAAAATATCTCATCTCTGAAAAATCCATACTAAGCGCTAAAACGTCACTAGAGACAAACCCGAGCGCAGTGAGAGTGAGTGAGACGCTAATATATATGTAAATAAGATACTTATCATAATATAACACGATACAGGGTTATCGGTCACTCGGATAACTTCAATTTAGACAATTTTATGTAAATTCCTCAATTATTATCTGACTTACACCACAAGAACACAGAGAGGAATAATCATGTCTAAACTTATAGTAAGTACAGTTAAATATAATAATACCATATCCATTCTATTTAATTATACTATTCTATTTCACTTACCTTCGCATTTCGTTTAATAGTAACCTACATTTTAAAATATATATATATATATATATATATTCTTAAAATAGCAAAGTAAAATTAACTAAGGTTTTTTTGAAATTGCAACCTTATTAGAGTGAAAGAAGTTAGCAAAGTATGTAAAGCAAACAATTTTTTTAGTTTAAAAGGTCATAAGTATTTAAATAAACATTTCATTTTGTATATGAAAACTCTAACATAATGAAATAACATAAATTCTAAAATAGAAATTACAATAATAAACCAACATTTTAAATCATTATGAAACTAACTATAAAAAAAGAATTATCTTGTTAAGTTCGAGCTGCATTTTCTGATCGGTACAATCGGCTCAACTAAAAACTTCATAAATTAATTTAAGGCAATACAAATAAAAAATCTTAGAAACTTATTTATGCTTAGAGATATCTAACTTGTTTTTAATTTGTCTAAAATATATATGTTTTATTTTAAAGTAAATATTTTGTTTTACAGTGTATCTTGGTGCTATCAGCATTGATTGCCCTCGTAGCAGCTCGTCCACAAGGAGGTAGGTACATGATTTCTATTAAACACTCAGTCTCACATAACAATCTTGTGAAAGATTGTTTTTTTTTGCAAACATTTGCTGCCTCAGTAGAGTACATTTCGCATTATCCAAACTTTTTGTTCATTCTACACATTTTTCTTGTAAATATATAATAAAATTGTAACAAAGCCGAATCTTTACATTAAATATTTTTTGGAAAATCTTATTGAAATAGTCATTATTATCGATACAGAGGTCGAATCTATAGTTTTTAGAATTTTTGTCTGTCTGTCTGTCTGTTACCGCATCACGGAAAAACCACTGGAGGGATTTTGATGAAATTTGGTATGATGGTAGCTGGTTATCCGAGTCAACATATAGGATACTTTTTACCGCGGAAAAATGTCTAATTTCTGAGAAAAAATACAAAAACTGCAGTGTAAGAGTATACTAATATGTAAAACCTAAGAATTTGATTTTTGGTCATTTGAACGCGGGCGGAGCCGCGGGCAATGCTAGTTCTAAATAAAATGGTTTTTAATTCAAGATACTCAACTAAAACTTTTATTAAAACCGTTTACGAGTGAATTAGAAAGATATAACATAGAATTTCTAAAAAGTATTGAGTGAATTTACTCCCCTTTATTTTATTTTAAATATTTTATTAATAGTTCAGATATGTTACTGATGTATATCAAAAAGGATCTACAGAAAAACTAACTCGGATCCAATATAAACTAACGAAAATGAGTTATCCAAATTTTTCACATACTTATTTTGTTTTTTCAGTGCAAGTCGTTGATGGAGATAATCAAGGTAGGTTTTTACTTTTTGTTATAAATAACTATTACATATTATAAAAGGTTATAAATATAAACATTATAATTCTTTTGCTGATAAAAAAAATCATTTTTACTTATAATATTTAAAAAAATAAATATAATAATCTTTTTGTTGTTATTGAAATCGTTTTTTTTTATTTCAGTGCAAGTAGATAACGGAGAAAACCAAGGTATTATATTACTCTATAAACTGTAGTACTTACATAAATATTATCACGTTATGAGGAGTAACTTGGACTTCTTTATTTTACAAAAATAACTAGCGGCTCACCTCGCTTCGCTCGGGTTCGCCTCTAAGAACACAAAAACAAACCTACCACACGGGAACAGTTCATTTTTCCGTGGTAAAAATAAAAAATAAAAAATCTCTGTGCCAAATTTCATCCACATCCATTCAGCCGTTCTGGCGTGAAAGAATAACAAACATCCATACTCACAAACTTTCACATTTATAATATTAATACGGATTAGGGTTCCGTGCAAAAAAATTAGAACCAATGAAATTGTGAACATAATCCGCGTACTTAGGGGTAAGATGCTAGTAAAAAATAAAAATAAAAATCAAATATTATTAATAAAAAAATATTTTTAATATTTAATTATTAAAATTTTATTATTGTAACCTCTTTCTTGTTATTGAAATAGTTTTTTTTTATTTCAGTGCAAGTCGATAATGGAGAAAGCCAAGGTATTATATTATTTTAAAAACTATAGTGCTTACATAATTATTAACATGCGTTATCTTCTACTATATAATTTGCCATTTAAATTAATTTTATATATTTTTTTGTTGCAGTGCAAGTTGTTGATGGGAATGCACAAGGTAATAAAGTTCTCTTTTTATATAATTTCTTAGAATATAATTATGTACTTTATACCTTATATACAGTAAGTTAATAAATTATCTTGTCCTCGTCCTGATGATGGCAAAGATCCCTTACTCACCTATTTTGCTCTTTCTTTCAAATCATTATCTTAAAGCTCATGCTTAGTTGTCAGATTTCTTAGGTTCAAACTCCATTCATTTTAGTTCTTATAATTTCATTTTTTGTACCTTATAGATTCTTCAAAGCTATTCTTGTGTATAAAAAAAGTCGTTAAAGTTTTTTATTAAATCCTCACACTATCAACGAAACCGCCAAATCATTTCAACCTTTACAGATATGTAATAATACAAAAAAAAAACAACTGATATTTTGAGCTTTAGCTGCGTACTAATAACAACATATGACGTGGCCTCTACATGACGAGTCTTGTTAGAAATCACCGACGACTTTCGATATTTAAATTTGATGTCAAACTAGTGGCTCACCCTCGCTTCGCTCGGGTTCGCCTAGAAAACCACAAACAGATCTATCCCACGGGACCTATCTCATTTTTCCGGAATAAAAAGTAATCTGTTATTTGACCGGTAATATAAGGTATTAGCATGCCAAATTTTACTAAATTAGATGCATAAGTTGTTGTGTACTAAGCTGTATAAGTTACTATATTTTTTTTACTATCCCACGGGAACTCTTTAATTTTCCGGGATGAAAAGTATCTAAGATGTTGCCCAGGGGTATAAGGTACCACCATGCAAAATTTCATTTAAATCGGTCCAATAGATTCGAAGATTAGCCCGTACAAACAGACAGAGAAACAAAAAATTTGAAAAAATCTGGATATGTTCTATTTCTCTTCTTACACCCCCCTGACTCGGTTTTAGAATTTTTTTCTATGTACATAGACATTCGACCTCTACAGTTTTATGATAGTATAGATGTAATGATATTTATCCATACTTAATATTATAAATGTGAAAGTGCGTTTGTTTGTTTGCCTTTCTTTCACGCCAAAACGGAGTGACGGATTGGCGTGATTATTGGTGTGAAGATATTAAGAGAGCTGGAGAGTAACAAAGGCTACTTTTTATCGCGGGAGATCATCGGGCTCATTCCCACGGGAAAACACGTTATAATACAATGCAAAAAAATATTTCTGATCAGAATTACTTGGAACTTGTATAAATACGTGTTTTAGCATTTTTCGTAATTCATTCTATCAGGGGGTAAAATAGGGGATGAAAGTTTGTATAAAACCTAGGTACCTACCTTTTAGAGATTTTTTGTAGTTTAAGCGCGAGCGAAGCCGCGGGTTCGACTTTTTTAAATATATATGTATAAACTAGCTGAGCCGACTTAGACGCTGTCTTGCGATTTCACTTTATATAGTTTTTTTTAATCTGGATTTCGACTACAGCATCATTTAGAGGGCCCAACCATAGTATAGGTCTAAGGGAAAGTTCTGTCGTTTTTTTCCTAAAAGAAAGAACATATTTTTTTTCACTTTTTATTAATAAATCATCCAAAATATGATGTCCTTTATTAGTTACAAATGTCTGCCAGCGATCTGGCAGCTTATCTAACCCACTGAAAAAGAATTCCTCTTTTTTGGAGACGAAGTATTATTTCACTGCTAGTTGGACACCATCATAATTTATATATTTATTTCCATCAATAAAGTATTACAGCGACTTAAACAGATGATAGTCAGATGGTCCAATATCTGGAGAATATGCTGGCTGAGGTAAAGTTTCCCAACCCAACTCTGCAATTTTTTGTATGGTTTTCCTTGCCATGCGTGGTCTAGCGTTGTCGTGGTGATGACTCACCCCTTTTCTGTTGGCCAAACATGAACGTTTACGTTGAATTTCTTTATTTAAAACATCAAGTTGCGGACAGTAACGATCAGCATCGACCGTTTCATTCGCTTTCAGCAAGTCATATTGCACTATACCCTTGCGGTCCCACCAACAACACAACATAACCTTCTTCGGATGCACGCCAGCTTTGGATGTGGACGGTGGTGTCTCCCCTTTATAAACATGTACTCTTTTTCTAACCATGTATTTATAAACTATCCAGTTTTCATCTTCAGTCACCAAGTAGTCCAAAAATGGGCCCCTTTTGGGACAAGCAAGATTTGAAGAACATATCGAAATTCTGTCCATTAAATTTTTCGCTTAATTCGTGTGGCACCCAAACAGAGAGTTTAGAAACGAAACCAAGCGTTTCAATGTGATCTAAAGCAGTAGTCTAGTGAATTCAAATCTTGAAGCCTACTTTTGTGGAAGTTAACGTGGGATTTGTCTTGATCATACTGCGTAGCACTTCGTCATAGACATCGGATGGCCTTCCTGAACTGGATTGATCTTTCAAAGAAAAATCACTTGAACGAAATTTCTCAAACCACTTTTGGTATATTCGAGCTATTACTGCGTCCTCTTCAAACACGTCACACCAGGGTTTTTTGCCTTCATCGCATTATTCTCTTTTTGGAAGTCATATAACATACAATGTCATAAATGCAATTTTTCTTCACTCACATTGACAGTTTTAAAAGTTTTAAAAAAACTGACTTAAATTTGAAAAAATGTGTATAAATCATTAATCATATACTAATCTAACTATTTAAACCGGTTTCAGTCGGATCAGAATTCTTGGTAAGGATCGGCAACGCATAAAAGTGCACGTTTTCAAAAACGACAGACTTTCCCTTATACCTTAATTAAGAAGCATTCAGGTGACCCGTGACCTTATAAGAGCACAAAAACCGAAATCGACAAAGCTCTTTACGAATATCGGCGTTACAATGGAATCTATATATATATATAAATGAAAGTCGGGTTAGCTACATCATTTATAACTCCAGAACGGCTGGACCGATTTTTATGATATTTGATTTGTTGGATTTGCCTCCGCCCCAAATAGCCGAATAACTATTAAAACATAGGAAAACATCACAAAAAAGTATATGGGTAATGCTGGATTATAATTATTTATTACTATTTAAGACGTACCTAGGGACGCACCCTAGCGAAGTGAGGGTAAGTCGCAAGAGGGTTTATATATAAAGATAAATTAGCTTTTATTCATATTTTTATATTATGACTAGTATGACTAAATATAATTTTCTTAATATAACTTTTTGGATGGTTTCAGGAAAAGACACAGACGGTGATGGTGGTAAGATTTCAATTATTATTTTTAATAAAAAATGAGTACTATTATTGTACATATATCTAGGACATGCCATTGATAGGCAACAATAAACCTCGATTGAATTCATACACTCTACAGATTTCTATTCAGAAATTTTTCTCTAAGTCAATGCCAATCTCAATGAGACTAGCCAACTGCACAGGAGATATTATAGTGCACAAGTGTACTCGCACACACAACGTGCACTCTCTATTCCTTTCACTCTCAAATTCCGATGAAACGATAATTTGATACGACTGGTAAGAGATCAGGAGTAGGACCGACGATGACTTTACGTATACTCCGAGGCACGGGGATGAAAAAACACAAACTTCTCAATTCCAGGCTGTTACTGAGACTTTCTTAACAGAAAGACTCAGTAACTAAATATGGCTCGACCTAGGACTCGACACAGGACCTCCGGATGTGCAGCTGTACATGCTATTCACTGCGCCACCAAGTCTTCGGTTACATATTAACAATACACCACTTTACACCTTTTTAGTTTCGTTTTAAAATAAAGAAATTGAACACGTTGGGACATTACCACACAACACCATCTAGTTCCATGGTAAGCTACGAGGCTTGTGTTATGGATACCAGATAGTTGATATACTACACATTATTATATAACTTTTAAAATACACATAATATTATAAACACCCATGACTGGAGTACAAACATTCTTGCTCATCATACAAATAATTGCCCCAGCGGGACTCGAACCCGCGACCACTGGCGCATCAAGAGGGTCACTACAAACTGAGCCAACCGTGTCGTCAGCTTATACATTATTTTAAAAACAATATACATAATTTTTTTAGGTAGGCAGTCCTAACCAGGTGTAACGCCAATCAAGAAACAATACAATCGACTACTATATCTATAGATACTACGAAGCATATTTTTTTAAAATACCTATCTACTTAAATAAAAAAATATATTATCTGTATAAATATATCAATTAATAAATACTTTCCATAAATGTACAATAATATTTGAAAATGTTGACTAAATAAACTTTTAGATGAAGTTATTCTATTATTTGGTAGATAACAATACCTAGCAGTAGCCTCAATGATTAGGCGAAGAGGTCGAGTCGCCAGCATCCGGCGGCGTGATAGATCGATTTAAAAATCATTGTGGCTATTATGACATGTAACAGGAGATGAATGTATCTATGGCTTGAATGTTAAGCTGTGCGTACTACGTATATTTTGAATACATATATTTTGAATAATATACATATACTAGCATTTCCCGCGGCTCCACCCGCGTTCAGATAAGCAAAAACCTAATTCTTAGGTTTTACATATTAGTAAATATATTGTAGTTTTTGTATTTTTTCTCAGAAATGAGATATTTTTCCGCGGTAAAAATTGTCCTATATGTTGACCCGGATAACCAGCTATCACCATACTAAATTTCATCAAAATCCCTGAAGTGGTTTTTCTGTGATGCGGTAACAGATTGACAGACAGACAAAAATTCTAAAAACTAAACATTCGGCCTCTTTATCGATAATAATGTTTATATCAATAAAAAATTCCAAAAAATATTTAATGCACAGATTCGGCTTAGTTACAATTGTATCATATGTATAGATATATGTAGTATCTATACATATAATAAAACTGTAGATGTCGAATGTCTGTACATAGAAAAAAATGCTAATAACCTAGTCAGGGGGATATAAGAAGAGAAATAGAAGAAATACAGATTTTTTTCAATTGTTTTATTCCTTGACTGTCTGTTTGTCTGTTTTTACGGGCCAATCTCCGAAACTTTTCGAAATTTTGCATGGTAATACCTAATATCCCCAGTTAACATTTTAGATACTTTTCATCCCGGAAAATTAATCCCGTGGGATAGTTAAAAAACTATAGTAACTAGTACACAAAGACTACTGATTGGATTTGAATGAAACTTTACAATTCATACATCATTATAGCAATGTAAATTTTAAAAAATTTAGTTCATACATCAGAATAACAAATAGGCTACTTTTTAAAAATGTACGGTTCCCGTGGGATAGATTTGTTTTTGTTTGTCTAGAGGCGAACTGTACAACATTTTTTTTTCTAATTCATAATTTAGATGAAATAAATATGCAGAAAAGTAACTTATTTCACCAAAGTTATGGTAGCTAGTTCAACATTATTATAGGGCTATTATTAAGATTTTATACTAAAATAAACATAGTAATTATTATACTTACATTATGCCTCAACACTGCCATAGTGATGAAGCGACGTAGAAATTTTCCGTTTCAACTACCGAGGCAGTTGACGCTCATGAGAACTGATTTTAATAGTATTACAATAATCTATACATATAATAAAATTGTAACTAAGCCGAATCTGTACATTAAATATTTTTTGGAAAATCTTATTGAAATAGACATTATTATCGATACAGAGGCCGAATCTATAGTTTTTAGAATTTTTGTCTGTCTGTCTGTTACCGCATCACAGAAAAACCACTGGAGGGATTTTGATGAAATTTGCTATGGTGATAGCTGGTTATCCGGGTCAACATATTGGATACTTTTTATCGCGGGAAAATGTCTCATTTCTGAGCAAAAATACAAAAAACTGCAATATATATAGAGTGTATTAATATGAAAAACATAAGAATTTGGTTTTTGGTCATCTGAACGCGGGCGTAGCCGCGGGCAACGCTAGTCACATATATAGTAACTATTTGTTTCTTTGTAGTTGAATAACTAATAAAATGTAATTTTTTATAATTATGTACTTATAAAGAGTATGCTTTAGGTATACCTTAATGATATATCATGTTACGATTTGAGACAAGTAGTAAGCTCACTGAACATTTTAGTAAGTTTAATCCTTTAAATGTCTTGAATACGGGACTCTTTAGAGCACCATTTATACCAGGTTTATTGTGCGCCACAAGTTAAAAAAATAGAACATATATCGGGATATCTATACTAATATTATAAAGAGGTAGTTTGTGAGATTGTGAGTTTGTGACGTTGTAGGGGGTAATCTCTGGATCTACTGAACCGATTTAGATAAAATTTGGTAAGAAAATAGTTTGAGACCCTAGAAAAGACATAGATACTTTTTATCTCGGAAACCATCCCTCAAGGGGGTGAAAATGAGAATGACAGTTTGTATGGGGCATCAAGCTAAATTTTAAATAGCACAGAAGGTCCCTTTTAACTTTTTTTTTCTTATTAAGTTGTTAGTGATAATCTGACCGTTATATCTCATGACTGGTGCTATTTGTTAATATTTCATTGGAAAAATCGCCTTGCCTTAAACAAAGAGCAATAATGATACCGTGATAATAATTATTAAAACGGAGCAGGAGTATTCATTATTGACGGAGTAAAGTAAACAAAAATATAACAAAAATTAATATTATTATGAAATTACAATAAGAAATTAATAGGAGTTAGTGAATATAATACCTAGATAAATAGCCAGTAGTATGTATTCAACCCTTTTTAACGTCCCACTGCTGGGCACGGGCCTCCCTACAACACGAGGGGGTTCAGGCCATAGTCCACCACGCTGGCCAAGTGCGGGTTGGCGGACTTCACAGGTTTCCTCACGATGTTTTCCTTTACTGTATGGCAAGGAGTAATCATGTTAGAAATGATTCGTACGTGAAAATATCAGAGGTGCGAGAGCGGGATTCGAACCCACTTCACTCGGTTTCCCAAGCTAGCGCGTTACATTGTTACACTGCCTACTAATAATAATAATAGTGAATAGTAGAATAACATAATAAGTAATTAACGGGATAAACTTAATTCAATCAATCAATCAATCAGCCTATCGCCGTTCACTGCTGAACAAAGGCCTCCTCCAATGAACTTCGACTATCCCAGTCCTTTTTTTTTACGTTAGGAAATGCATTTACGCACGACGTGTGGGACTCACCGGCATAATACAGCCAGTACTACCCACTAAAACTCAACAAAACCTTCCCCCGTCTTAATGGGGCGTCGCAGGATCGCTTACGTATTCAACTACGACGCCCCGACGGCAAGTCTGCCAAAGCAGACCACCACAACCATGGGGTTGCTCCAAGGTCCACTCTGCTATCAGAGAAGTACCAGGAGCAACCCTCAAGGTACACCGCCCCCCGTAGAGGGCCATCTCCCACCGCCCACCGAAGTGGGCAACCTCCCTGTGCGTTTCTTAGCTTCCCGCCCGGTTGGATTGCCGGGCACTACTGAGCCCCCCCACCACGACAAGGTGAACGCACGTTGGGGGGGGCGACTATCCCAGTCCGGGGCAACCCGCATCCATGCACAACCTGCCACCTTTCTTAGGTCCCCTGTCCATCCTTGTTTTTTGTACTTTTTTCCTGTAGCACAAAGCTTAATTAAACCAATATAATTTGATAGGAATGGTTAGCGGTGTTATAGACGAACCTATTTCATATCGTTCTCGGCGTAGGGGCATGCCTTTATAGTTCACAGATTAATAATTATAAGGTGTATAAAGCTATATTAAGTACTAGCAGCTCACCCTTGCTTCGCTCGGGTTCGCCTCTAGAATAGCACAAACAGATCTATCCCACGGGAACCGTTCATTTTTCCGGGATAAAAAGTAACCTGTTATTTGCTCATCAGCATGCCAAATTTTACTAAATTAGGTGCATACGTTGTTGTGTACTAAGGGATATAAGGTACCACCATGCAAATATTCATTTAAATCGGTCTAATAGTTCCGGAGATTAGCCCGTACAAACAGACAAACAGACAGAGAAACAAAAAAATTGAAAAAATCTGGATTTGTTCTATTTCTCTTCTTGCATCCCCTTGACTCGGTTTTTAGCATTCTTTTTTATGTACAGACATTTGACCTCTATAGTTTTATTATAGTATAGATACTTTGTTTTACACTGACTTTAAAAAGAAGCCTACCTAAAATTATATTAACAACTCGAATATTACTTATTAATTATTATTACATAATAATTACTTTTTTAATCAGTGTACTAACATCACAGATTTTTTCTGTCTTTATTTTTTAAGCATTTAACAAAGTATATACGTAATATTTAATTTTAAACATTCAAAAAAAATTATACACATACTTCATGCAAATCATATTTAATAATAAAAATATGGAGCCTAAACCTACAACTAATACCTTAATTTCTTTATTTATTTTTGGTTTTGAATATTACCTTTATACCGTTACCTTATAGCTATCATATTAATATAACTAATGAATGTTACTTTATTACTTTGTCACGTTATAATTGCTCAAAAGATTGAATGAGATTCAGAATGGAAATAGTTTATACCTAGGTTAAAAATATATAAAAAAAAACATTTATATATTAAGTATTTACTTAAAAACTTAACTCGGTTTATTATAAACTAAATTATAATTTACTTTCTTAAGGTATTTTTTATAGAAATATCATAATTTATTATTTAACAATAGTATTATTAGGTACAGGAATTTAATACATATAGGTACATATATGTAGGCTTAGAGAAAACAGCGATTTCACATTAACATTAATCGAAGGCTAACCTCCACACACGATGTTTACACAAACGAGTAGTGTCATATATTATAACATAAAGTATATTTATATCTGCACAATTAATATCTAAGTATTGATCATAAGATAAATGAACAACTTTACGTATTACTCGTACCGAGAAGAACTCGAGTAATTTTAAAACAATGCAGAAACGATTAAAGCTGTTAAATTTTGCTAAACGGTAGTGCCAAATGAATTTACTTCAATAATTCCAATGACATCACACACTAAAAGAGTTTACAACTGGCTTTAATTGAGAACGACGACGTTCGACCGATTGCCAGCAACTGTTCCAATCTCGATAGCAGCACTCGTGTCACACTAGATACGTTCTAGATTGAATTTAAACGTTAAAACTATTAAAATGACCATTTATATCATTGGATTCATATGCGCTTTAATTCTGGTAAGAAATATTTATTTACCTTAACATATAAAATAACATCATATTTGTACTGTGTTTTCAATTACAGTCGGCATTTTTGATCGGTTGGATAGCGTACTGCATGTTTTGCAAAGAGCGGCACAAATCAGAAAGTTATCAATACAACATATCAGACTTACGACGTCTTAACTACGAGTTCGCTCAAGAGCAACAGGAAAATAATACTAAGGAAGTCACCGCTGGCATATTTATACTGCCGTCCCGCCACAAACAAAAAGAAGATTTAACATATACAAAACGTCCAGACTATCCTGAAAGTACTGTGACAAATTTACAGCCGACGACTGATAAATTAATAGAAATAATCAATGAAAGTCCAGACGAGAATCGTAAATGTGTTGGTTTCGATGTTATTGATTCTGACGTACCTTACCATAGTGAAGTTTGATTGCGCAACTCATTGTTTGATTACAATATACTGTTCGATAGTTTAACAATGTATTGATGCACTGAACTTATATTTAAGTAGAATAAAAGATTTTTTTATGTCACTTTGTACTAAATGTTGAAATAAAATACATTTATTTATGATGATTTAATTAAAATTGTTATTAATAAACAATTAATATAACATTTAGTGTTCTCATTACAAAAAATATATTAACTACGCATAACTTACATTCATAATATTACACATTTATTAACATTTTAAATAAAACTCCCTTTTCGGATTATTTCGCGGATTTATTTTGATTTTTGGTTCCCTACAAATTTAAATTTAAGGTTAAAATAAATCCGCGAAATAATCCGAAAAGATAGTTTTATTTAAAATGTCAAATATTCGCGTAAATCTAAGAAAGTATTACATTTAACATTGTTGAAAATTGACTTACGATGAAACTTTTTAAAATCGTTTATCACAATAATATTCGAGTATAATCACGAGTACCTACTTATAATTAACATTGTGGAATACCATCAAAATGAAATCAAAACAAAGCATTGTGTAACGTTGGTTCGAATTACTTCTAAATTAAAATGGCATTCAGTTGATGAATTTGACATTCGTGCAACATATTATACCTGTTTCTGTTAAGTCTTATAATTAGTAATCCCATATCTACACATTTAATAAAATTGTAACTAAGCCGAATCTGTACATTAAATATTTTTTGGAAAATGTTATTGAAATAAACATTATTATCCAAACAGAGGCCGAATCTATAGTGTTTGGAATTTTTGTCTATCTGTTACCGCATCACAGAAAAAACACTGGAGGGATATTGATGAAATTTTGTATGATGATAGCTGGTTATCCAGGTCAACATATAGGATACTTTTTACCAGAGAAAAATATCTCATTTCTGAGAAAAAAATACAAAACTGCAATGTAAAATAGAAGTATACTAATATGTAAAACCTAAGAATTTGGTTTTTGGTCATCTGAACGCGGTCGGAGCCGCGGGCAATGCTAATACTAAATAATGTCGCTCAGAAAGTGGTTATTGTGTAAGGCTTTTAACACCGTCGGCCATTTTGTCAATGATACTTTTCTCCGTGGGCTTGAAGACATGTACCACACTATCTCCAGCATCGCTCAGAGTCTTAACTACTTCAGTCCAAGCAGTTTTCATGGAATCCATGACATCTCTCTTAGAACGATCTGACTCTAATGATAGAGCCGACACATAAACAGCAAAGCACTGAAATAAAAACAAAACGGTTTTATTTGCTATGGCTATAGTATTATTTTTTACAAGATATGTTATATTTATGCCAGGCTTTATAAATAATACATTAGCATGTCAATGCGCAAACGTAATCTAATAGCCTACTTTTTCTTCTAGACATTGTAAATAATATATGTATGTATTCAATGATTATAGGCTATTAATAACTCGCTTATTTTCACTCTTTGACAAAATAGAAAATGATTAAAATTGGAAATAACTTAAATGTATAAGCGATTTTTAAAAGACTTTGCCTTAATATATTTATTTATTTATGTACTATAATATATATTATGTTATCTATACATATAATAAAATTGTAACTAAGCCAAATCTGTACATCAATTTTTTTCGGGAAATCTTATTGAAATAGACATTACTATCGATACAGAGGCCGAATCTATAGTTTTTAGAATTCTTGACTGTCTGTCTGTCTGTCTATCTGTCTGTCTGTCTGTTACCGCATCACAGAAAAACCAGTGGAAGGATTTTGATGAAATTTTGTATAGAGATAGCTGGCTATCCGGGTCAACATATAGGATACTTTAAACCGCGGGAAAAAATCTCATTTCTGAGAAAACATACAAAAACTGCAACAACTGCAACTGCAATGCTAGTAATAAATATATTGTTTAAATAAATGTAGGTATAAAAAATTATAATAAATAAATATTTATTATCCTGATTGAAAAGTAATTTTGGAAGACGCTTTACAGTATTATTTTTAGTATACGGCCAAAATACAGTAGATTCATTACACTTACGTACCTCCCCCACACACCACGACCACAGCAGCTAGTGATTAACTACTTACATTAAATGCTAGATGACTCTACAAACAAAAAATTCTTGCCAAATAATAAATTTCTATGTGATCTTCTGAGTTCTGGATACAAAAAATTCTAGAGAAAGTAGGTATTTTCAATATCTCCCAATTTTCCGGATACTTTTTTTAATACATGTATCTGCTTAATTTAATTCACACTAATTTTAAATGAAATAAACAAATAAGTATAAATCCATTTAAAAGCAATATATATATATATATATATACGTAATTAGAAACAGCTATCCTAGAACAGAACAATTACAATATTTCGAAAAAGAAAGGACTTCTTAGCTGATATTTTTTAGGGATTATTTAAATATATGTTTACTTCTTTACAGCTTTGAGTAATTTATCAAATATTTCGACCTATTATTATTATTATGTACTTACAATGCACAAAATAAATGCTAATCGAATATCCATATTGCAGGTTCAAATTTTTTATTTATATTGTTGTGCACGATGTCGAGGCCAGATACCTACTGGAAACAGATAATCAACAGGAAAGTCCGATTTACTTTGGCCGTCAGTCATGTATGTCAGTAATAGGCGTGCAGACAAAATTGCTAAGAATAATGTGACGCGGACAAGGGCTGTGAAACCTATACATATAATAAAATTGTAACTAAGCCGAATCTGTACATTAAATATTTTTTGGAAAATCTTATTGAAATAGACATTATTATCGATACAGAGGCCGAATCTAGGGTTTTTAGGATTTTATGTCTGTCTGTCTGTCTGTTACCGCATCACAGAAAAACTACGGGAGGGATTTTGATGAAATTTGGTATGATGATAGCTGGTTATCCGGGTCAACATATAGGATACTTTTTACCGCGGGAAAATACCTCATTTCTGAGCAAAAAATACAAAAACTGTAATGAAAGAGTATACTAATATGTAAAACCTAAGAATTTGGTTTTTGGTCATCTGAACGCGGGCGGAGCCGCGGGCAATGCTAGTACTTAATAAAGAACCAGATTTAGGAGAGTGCAGCAGAAGCTATTCTTCCAGGTACTCCACAAGGTAGGGGCCTTCAAATTCAAGATTTCGATTTGGATTTGAGTTTAAGCGAAAACGATCTGTTTTAGATAATTTGAATATGCATTCTAAAAATTTACGCGGGGCCTTCTTTTCCTTGCTTGTAAATGTTTAAGGTTATATACAATTTTTACTTTAACACTTTTTACTGTTACCTCTCAATGTAAATTGGGTAACTACTGGAGGTGGCGAGCCTGCGTTAGCGTGTGACAATAATACCGAACTAAACCACTCCTAAAAAGTAAACAATATTGGAGAGAATGCACGGTTCGCATTTGAACATGACTAAGTACGGATAGTGGGCTGACTAGTAGTTTTTCGAACAGCAGACATCGCGAGCACACTTTTTTGCAACAATTAATCTACAGATACATATAATAAAATTGTAACTAAGCAGAATCTGTACATTAAATAATTTTTGGAAAATATTATTGAATTAAACATTATTATCGATACAGAGGCCGAAACTATGGTTTTTAGAATTTTTCTGTCTGTCTGTCTGTCTGTCTGTTTGTCTATCTGTCTGTTACCGCATCACAGAAAAGCACTGGAGGGATTTTGATGAAATTTTAAATACTTTATATAAATATATCAAATCCAGGCAATTTTAATAAAAAGCAAAGAAACTGAAAAACTTTCTATTACACAAGCTAGTGACAAAAATGTGAATGATATGTAATCTATGGACAGAAAATAACAACAATTAAGAAATATTTTTCCAACACCTTGATTTTATTATTTATATATCTATAAAATAAATAAATCTAACTAAATGATCTTTAGGGATGTAATAAACAACAATAACCAATTAATTCATAATCACTTTTTAAAGGGAACATGATATTCTTTAGTGATTTCATTATTATAGTTCAGTAAAATCAAAAATAAAAAACAGAGAGCTTGTGTGTTTCAAGGTAAGAGGACGGCTAACTCTACAATATTCTTTCTAACATTTTTTATTATACGTTCGTATGATTTACATAATCATATATAGAAAAAAATATATTAAAATATGTATAATATGTAACGTAAAATTTTCCAGAGCAATATCTCTTCCAGTTGCGCTTATTCTGTTAACCTGTGTATGTATATATTTAAATCTTACCCTCCACTTGTTACTTGTCTTGCCTGTGAATTTTCGATGTACCCAATAAAGCGTTAAGTTAAGCTTTAGCTAATGTGATTTCTCATATAAGTGAATTGTAATATTCTATTGAGAAATAAATGATCTTAAACCTAAACCTGAGATCTCTCTGGGTGCTCGAGATCAAATATATTGACTATATTCGATGCCATTGTTGTTGATAAAACTAAATTTGATAAAGCCTTTTGAGTACGTAACCTCAAAAACATAAAAGGTAAAAAAATTCAATTCAGCTTTTTTGCTATAATTATAATTCTTCGAGAGCCTGATGATTTTTCAAAGCAACGTATTTTCAACTACTCACAGTTAACTTTAACTTTTATTATTTTTTGTTGTACCGTGTGGGTCATTCGTAAATGAATATACTTCTCATCAAGTTGTCCTGGTACGCGGTTTTATTTTTTCCTCCGTGTCCTGTTAAGTCCCGTACAATAAGTTTAGGAAAAAATAAAACATAAGTAGTAAAAGTAGATAAAGATTTTATTAAAATTTTATTAAAGGAACGAATGAGTCCTTTATTCCCGTTTCAAAGGAATAAGCATTAATAGTTTTTCCTCTTAAGGAGTCCAGAGTGTCGCGGTAAATGGTGTAATTTGTGTGCATTGAATCCACTATAATATACTTAATTGTTAACTATTAACATACATATATAGGCTTTGGGACATGTGTGATAAAATTGAAGTACAAGTACATATATATATTCTTTATTGCTATTCTTACACACTGCACATTAATTATTACTTAGGTATACGTGATGTATAGATTAAAAATATTATACATTAAAACATATTTTTTGAAAATTGATTTTGAAGAAAGTTTTTAATCTCTTTTATAACAATAATTCATGACACAACTATCAATGCCGCAGTTTAGGCATCGCTGAACTGATCAGACTGGAAAAAAATAATAAGTGGTCGCGATCCTCATCAATGATCAAACGAGGGAGAAGAGTCACAATAAATACGAGAAAAATTACAAATAGCAAATTATTGCTTATTAAAGCATTGCGGAATACTATTAAAATGTAATCATTTTGTAACGTTTGATTCGATTTACTTTTATATTAAAATGGCTTTTTTATATTTATGACATTTATGCAGCATATAATTGCACCTACATATATCTGTTAAATTCTATAATTAGAAATCCCATAGTATTAAATAATGCCGTTCAGAAACTGGTTATTCTGTTAGACCTTTGACCCCGTCAGCCATTTTATCAACGATACTTTTCTCCGTGGGCTTAAACGCCTTTGCCACAGAATCTCCAGCATCGGTCACAGCCTTAGCAACTTCGGTCAAAGCAGATTTCACAGAATCCATGACATCTCTCTTAGAACGATCTGACTCTAATGATAGAGCCGAAACATAAACAGCAAAACACTGAAACAAAAATAACATGTTTTTATTCCATGGATATAGTCTTATTGCTCTATATGATATATTTAAGTTAGGCCTCATAAATAACGCGTTACCAACTCAATGCGCAAACGTAATCGTATAACCTCTTTTTCCTTAAAACCATATTTGATAACTTATCCAGTAAATATTATAGCCTATTAATAACACTATAAGCTTATTTTCACTTTTTAACCGACTTCCAAAAACGAGGAGGTTCTCAATTCGTCGGAATCTTTTTTTTTATATGTATGTTCACCGATTACTCGAAGACAACTTTAATGTTCTAGAGATTGTTCAAATACGTTGCTTAAACATAATAATGTTCTAATAAATGTCCAAAAAAATATAATTGGTGGTGACTCCACGTTCTGGCGTGATTGAGTTACAAACATTCATCCATCCAAACTTTCGCATTTATAATGTTAATGGGATAAATAATCATTTATTATCATGATTGTAAAAGTAATTTTTAAAGACGCTATATAGAACTATTTTTAGGACACGACCAAAAAAGAGCAAGTTCTTGAAATTTAGGTACTCGTACTTGGATGCTTAAAAGATTAAATGCTAAATGACCCTACAGACAATATTTTTTTTCTAATGATTTTTTGGGTTCTGAATACAAAAAAAATCCTATAACTAACTAGAGTAGGTACTTTCCGTTTTTCCCATTTTTCCGATTAATTTTTCATTTTTTTAATACCCGTATTAAGCAAATTTTTATTTTCATTCAAACTAATTTTAATTAAAAAAATAAATAGATAAATTCATTTAAGACCAATGCCTATCAATATATGTATGTATGAGCGTAAAATCAACTATCCTAGAACGAAAAATTTATATTTGAAAAAAAAAGGTCTTTTTATTTTAGTTTTATTTTTAGCTATTATATTTTAGGGGTTATGAAAACATAATATATTTACATCTTTACCACTTTAATTAACTTGCCTGTTATCATATTATTATTACTGAGACTATCAGTGTAAAAATATCATTTTAAAGGATAAAAATCAGTAAATCGACAAAATATGTCGACCTAATATGTATTAATATTGTTATATACTTACAATACACAAAATAAGTGCTAGGCGAATATCCATATTGCAGGTTTAAATTTAATTTTCTTTTTATTTTTTTGAGTTACACTGTTGTGGACAGTGTCAAGCCCAGGTTCCTACTGGAATCAGATCATCAACAGGAAAGTCCAATATACATACTTTGGTCACGCATTGTCCTGTCAGTAATAGGCATGCAGACAAAATTGCTGATAATAATGTGGACTCACAAGGGCTGCGAAATCTATACATATCAAAAAATTGTAACTAAGCCGAATCTGTACATTTAATATTTTTTGGAAAATCTAATTGAAATAGACATTATTATCGATACAGAGTCCGAATGTATAGTTTTTAGAATTTTTGTCTTTCTGTCTGTCTGTCTGTCTGTCTGTTACCGCATTACAGAAAAACCACTGAAGGGATTTTGATGAAATTTGGTATGATGATAGCTGGTTATCCGGGTCAACGTATAGGATACTTTTTACCGCGGGAAAATGTCTCATTTTTGAGAAAAATACAAAAACTGCAATGTAAGAGTATACTTATATGTAAAACCTAAGAATTTGGTTTTTGGTCATCTGAACGAGGGCGGAGCCGCGGGCAATGCTAGTGCTAAATAAATTTGATCATTATAAAGCGATAGAAAAGTAACGAGTTATAAATTTTCATATATGAATATTTGCACCTGACAAAACTGCACATTTTGAATGCTTTACAGCAATCATGATCAAATCGAAGAATTTGAAAAGTCAGTTTTATTTAAGTAAATCTCTTAAGTAGACATATTTTATTACATGTTGTGTCGTAACTATTTACTCAAAGATTATGGCCCGAAATCTGTGAAGAAGAAGAAGTAATAAATAATAATAAATAAATATGTCAGGACATACATAACACACAACACCATCTAGTTCCATGGTAAGCTACGAGGCTTGTGTTATGGATACCAGATAGTTGATACACTACACATATATAACTTTAAATACATACATATTATAAATATAAACATCCATGACTGAGTACAAACATTCGTGCTCATCACACAAATGAATGCTTCCAGCGGGACTCGAACCCGCAACCGCCGGCGCAGCAAGTAGGGTCATTACAAACTGAGCCAAACATGTCGTTAAAAAGTGAAGAAGTAGCACACTTAGTTCATGTATTTAAGTAGTACCTAAGTCCTATTCCGGCCTCATTAGTTAAGTATAGCTCTAATCTATAATAATTTTAATACCTTAATTATATTATGGAGCATGGATTTAAATAAATGTAGGTAGATAGAAACTAAACGTGTGTGCTGCAATTTTATTAATCTGCTTTTATAATATTCCTGCAATGACATACATAGTAATAATGATTTCCCGACCGACTTTGCGCACGGCGGAAAGTCTCATTGAGACTAGCCAACTGCGCAGGAGATATTATAGTGCTCAAGTGTACGCGCAGACACAACGTGCACTCTCTATTCCTGTCACTCTCATACTCCGATGGGACGACTATTCTGACCGTACTTGACGACCCTGGGAGTATAGCTTCTGCTGCAGTCCCTTAAATCTGGTTCTTTAACTTTTATTATAGTTAATGCTCGTAAAGCCATTAATAAATATACTTAACTGAGAAACGACTATAGAAATTAAACAATATTATTTTAATTTTATTTTATGCCCCTAAAAATTCTCTTTGTGACCTCTTAATATAAATTAGGTAACTACCGGAGATGACGGGCCTGCGTTAGTGGCAATAATACGGCCTAAATCATTCACAATGACGCATCCACAACAAACATGGACAAATAACAAAAATGATAAAGAGATAAGTAGGTTGGCATTGAAAGCAATTAGATACTTATGTATCTTAAATCTTTTATTTTGTTTTCAAAAACATATTTATTTATTATATCTACTGATAGAAATTTACTATTTACATATACGTTTTATGATTTGTATCGCCATGCCTTTTCGATTCTGATATCCATACTTCCACATTTCCATATTTAATATTATAAATGTGAAAGTGTGTTTGTGTGTTTGTTTGTTTGTTTGTCTTTTTTTTACGTCGAAACATAGGTATGGATTGGCTTGATTTTTTGTTTGGAGATAGTTGGAGGGCTGGAGAGTAACATACGCTATTTTTTACCGCATGAGATTATCTCCTTCCCACGGTAAAACACGTTATAATACAACATAAAAAATATTTATGATCAGAATTACTCGAAACTTGGTATTAATGCTCTTCAAGACAATTAAATAAATACGTGTTTTCGCATTTTTCGAAATTCATCCCATAAGGGGGTAAAAAAAGGGTTGAAAGTTTGCATGAAACCCGCATTTTTAAAGATTTTTTTGCAGTTTAAGCGCGAGCAAAGCCGCGGGTTCTGCTAGTAATATTATAAGTTTCATACACAAGCTATGACGTGGAGTAACACGTAGATTACCAATTATTAGGTTTCTTAACACGAATCTTATCCCAATCAAAGCGAGGATATGTCATTAGTACGAGTATATGATATAGAAAACTTATAACTCATACTAAATATATAATATATAGTATATAAATATATAGTAAGTACTGTAGCCTGGCTCATAGAACCCGAATGACAGCGTGTCTTAAAACTGCAAGTAAACTTTGGACGGAATCATCTAGAATGATTTACTCCAAGACACTTAGCAAAGTCTACAACAAAAGGTATAATAACTTTATCATAGCGTTAATCAGCAAGACCATACGCCTTACTAATATTATTTAATTTTTGACGACCCGTTTGGCTCAGTTGGTAGTGACCCTACTTGTTGTGTCAGCGGTCGCGGGTTCGAGTCCCGCTGAGGGCATTCGTTTGTGTGATGAGCACGAATGTTTGTACTCCAGTCATGAGTGTTTATATTTATAATATGTATGTATTTAAAGTTTATATATGTGAAGTGTATCAACTATCTGGTATCCAAAACAAGCCTCGTAGCTTACCATGGAACTAGATGGCGCTGTGTGTTAATGTCCCAAGATTTATTATTTATTATTATAATTAATATGTAAGGACCCTTACAGGATAGGACACTTCAGGGGAAGTGTGGACAGCTCATGCACAAAGCTATTTTCTAGGGAAACAATTTCTAGGCCCAGGTGAAATCATAGATTGTACCCCTAAGCAAATCCTGCAGTTTATCACAGCTGGAGCGTTCAGCGATTTACTATAGGTAGTCCATCATAGTCGATCAAAATAGACCAGAATTGGTCGCAGTGATATTTTATAGTCGAAATGACTTTATGTATTACTTCTTAAGACCTATAAATTTATCGACATAAAATATTTTAATGCTACTCTTTTTATTATTGATTCTTTCGTGATTCCTTTATTTATACATATAATAAAATTTTAACTGAGTCGAATCTGTACATTAAATATTTTTTGGAAAATCTTATTAAAATAGTCATTATTATCGATACAGAAGCCAAATTTATAGTTTTTAGAATTTTTGTTTGTCTGTCTGTCTGTGACCGTATCAAGAGAAAACCACTGGATAGATTTTGATGAAATTTGGTATGATTATAGCTGGTTAACTGGGTCAATATATAGGATACTTTATACTGCGAAAAAATATCTCATCTCTGTAAAATCTTAATTATATAATAATATATTTTAGTAAAAAAATACTGGAGTTCAAATTAGGAGGACGTACTAGAGCTGTTTTTCTAACATTTATATTATACGTTCATATGGTATACATATTTATATCTCTCCATCTTTCCAAGTGCTCGAGGTCAAAATGTTGACTATTTACGATGCCATTGTTGTTGATTGAACTATGGGAGCTAGTGCTAGGTCTATTCAATATAAAGTCTATTGAGTACCTACCTAATCTAATAAACATAAAAGTTTCTTTTATCAAAGGATTTCCTGAATTAAGCCAAATGGTTTATAGATAGTAATCCATCCATGATAGTAATAAAACTATACTTTAGACATTGGTTCTCACTCGAATATCATGTGTTGAATAAGTTTCTATTTGCCTACTAAAATATAAAAAGGCAAAGGATATGTTTTAATTTTTTTTTCTATAATTATAATTGTAGGAAAAAATAATGAAATAAGTTGAAAATTAAGGCAAATTTTGGTACTAACAAATTTTCGCGAAAATCTAAATTTGCCCATATCTTTTTATCGTGTTGACATATAACTTTAATTTTTATACACCTAATAGAGACTATTGACCTTAATATCTGGTATAAATTTCAACTTTCTAGGTCCACCCGTTCCAGAGAAAATCGGTGGTGACACACGGACAGACGTCTGTCTGTCTGTGGACAGACGTGTGACGGACAGACGGACATGAGAGTGATCTTATAAGGGTTCCTTTTTTACCTTTTGAGGTACGGAACCCTAAGAAGGTAGTAATAGTAGATAAATATGTTATGAAAAAAAGCAAAAAAATCCTCTATTCCTGGTCTGTCGTTTTTCCTCTTAATTCTTTACAGATAGGGTAGCGTTAAATTGTGAATATATAATTACCATAGCAAAGTTAGTTACCATGGCAAAGATAGATTAAAGTGAGAGTTAGCGCGTTAGTTATTTGTTTGTTGCCATGGTAACCGTTGTTATTGTCTGACAAATGACATATAATATTATATTCTTTCCTTATTTTCTTTCCATTGCGGCCACTTTTACATAGGTGAGAGGTATTTTATCATGCATAGAAAAAAAATAGCCTTAATTTGATATATAAATGATGAATATACGCCACGAACGTATAAATGTAACAAAAACATTTTTATTGACTCGCAACCACTTTTGCGGCCACTTTTACATAGGCACAAGTAGTTTATCAGGTACAGAAAAAAAATAGCTTTAATTTGATATATAAATGATGAACATACGCGATGAACGTATAAATGTCCCAAAATATGACCCGCTTACACCTGCTGCGAAGAGGTTGCGGCCAAATGCGCAGCGGTAGCTATCATTTTTCAAGATCTCTACGTATAGTTCTGTGAAGTGTAGTATAATTCATTGTAATAACAAATGTATCGTTTTTATTCCAAAAAGTCAACTATTATTTAGTTAATTAAACATACTAGCGGGCACATTTGAATAGGCACCCCGGTCAAAACATATTGTCCCTTTTATTATTGTATATAAAAATCGATTTCGATTAAACACGCTATGAACGTAGAAATCTTGCAGTGGGATCTTAGTCCATACGTTTAATAATTATTATTATTATACGAGTCATGTCTGCGTGCAATTGTGGCAAGAATGCTAACTACATTCTACCGTTAAATCATATTCTAGGTATTTCTGTATAACAAATGCAGGGCGTATTCGAGCACAGAGAGTTCATTACCACCAAAATATTCATATAATTATTTCACGTTTCAATAAAATAATACTTAAGATTAAATAGCCCTAGAAATACTTTTATTTGTTTCGTTGTCTTAACACAGACCTTGCCCAGCAACGACCGAGGTTGGGAATATTTGGTTTGATTTCACGAGTTCAATACCATAGAGTTAATTTTGAAATTCTGATTTAAGACGCAAGACAACATATGATGGATAAATTATAAAATATATATACATATATATATATATATATATATATATATATATATATACTAAACAGTGCAATACATAGTAGCGTGTAGCGACCCTCACGTTGCTCATGTGCATTCCAACATGCAGATTGCAGACCTTTTCGCTTTTATTACCAATAGTAACCAAAGGTTTCCTCCAGATCATAGTCTATCGACATAGACTTTATTTCATCCAAATCCATGAAGCCACTTCATGTTAAGTGGCAACACGTACTTAAAAAAACGTTCGGATTTTTAATAATTATTAGCCCGTACAAACAGACAGAGAAACAAAAAAATTGAAAAAAATCTGGATTTGTTCTATTTCTCTTCTTACATCCCCCTGAACCGATTTTTTGTATTTTTTTCCATGTACAGACATTCGACACCTACAGTTTTATTATATGTATAAATGACTTCAAATATATCTGATTGCTATCTCTTGCATTTAGTAAAATACCTTTAACTTCAGTTATTTCTTCCATTTTAGTTCTTTGCAATGAGATGAATTTTTTCAACAAAATATGTGCACTATAATCACACCGAAGTTCATTTTGTATTTTTAAGGCAGAACTAAAACTAAAATAAACAATAATACTTTAAAAATTATGATTAATTAATTTTCTTTGTAAATCAATTTTACTTTTCTTTTGCTGTAAGTTATAATATATTTTGTTATGAATTAATGCTAAGCTTTTATAATATTAACACTTAAAGTATATTAAGTAAATATTAAAATATATCTGAAAAACATCTAAAAACGAATACATTATTTTTTTTGTTATTAGGTATCTACTTAAAAGTTTTGTTAATCAAATCAAAAAAAAAATAACTAACTTAATGATAGTTTAATGTTTTTATGACGTAAGAACATTGTTTTTTTTTTAACATAACATTAATAAACAAAAATATTAAAATTATTATTTTTATATCTTGTAGGCTTTAAAATAACTTATGATTTTTGAGAAAATGACAAACGAGGGCAGGTCTGCCGAGGCAGACTACAACAACTAAGGGTTTGCTTCAACGAAAACCGGAAATTACTCCACACCGAGAGTGACATTAGTAACATTCATGTTAAATAAAAGTCATTCTTCTCATGGTATCTTATAAGAATGACTCTTCCGAAACTATGCGGATATTATTCCTTTTATATTTGCCAAATGTCAGTCAGACCCAAGTTATTTTGTTTTCCTTTACTTTTAATTAAACTGTTTCTCTAAATATTATGTTTTCTTTTTTATTATATTTTTTTGTCAATATTATCAAACTCTGCATAAAAATCATTTAAACAGCGCCAATCATTTTGCACGACCGCGCCTGTTTGCATAATCTTTTCGTTAACCAGACTAGAACAGATAATACAAACATAACTTTTGTGGGACAATCGAACCCACGACCTATCACATACGATCATGATATGTGCGTCAATAGATTAATTATTATAGAACACTTTAATATATCAACACAGTTTTCATCTTTAGTATTGACTATGTATATTTTGAACACAATGAATATTACGAAAGTTAAAAAATAAATAAATTAAAATGTCAACATTTATTCACTTTTGTACAACATAACGATTATATTCTTATTACTTCCATAGATTTACAGGAATATTTGATATTTTAAATAAAACTATCTTTTCTGATTTTTTCGCGTATTTAGTTCGATGGTCACGGGAGAGACTTATCCAGAGTTTCTCCCGTGACCAAGATTGCTGTAAAAGATTCAAAATGTAGGGAACCAAAAATCAAAATAGATCCGGAAAAAATTCGAAAAGACAATTTTATTTAAAATAACAATTTATATCCTTCTTTAATCTTTCGCTACTTTTTTGTATAAAACACTCAATAAATTACTTGGACCCTTATCACCTTTAACTTTATCGACACCTTTCATAAAGATATCCACACCGGGTAGTTCAGATAAAGCGCAAAGTAGTTTGAAGTCTTCTATTAACTTCCTAGTTTCCCTTGATTCCAGTCCTGCTCCTTCAGTTGGTGTTTCTCTTGGTACTTCTCTTTTAGCCTTTTCACAAGCCAGTGATTGAATTATACACATTAGCATAATAACGCTGAATATTATAATCTATAAAGAGATAAAGAATCTATAAAAACCTAAATTTATTGCTTAAAAGTAAAAATTAGTTATGCACAGACTATATATATATATACAATACACCACACATAGATTTTAATACTTTAAACAACGCCTAATAATTAATCATTGTATTTAAATAATCCTCCAAAAGAACTCCAAAAATATCATATTGACAGCGGAAACATATACACAATTGTTAAGTTTTAAATCAGTACGACAGTTCGAAGTAGGTTATCTATACATATAAAAAAATTGTAACGAAGCCGATTCTGTACATTAAATATTTTTTTGGAAAATCTTATTGAAATAAAAATTATTATCGATACAGAGGCCGCATCTATAGTTTTTAGAATTTTCGTGTCTGTCTGTCTGTTACCGAATCACAGAAAAACCACTTGAGGGATTTTCATGAAATTTGGTGTGGTGTCAGCTGGTTATCCGGGTCAACATATAGAATACTTTTTACCGCCGAAAAATATCTTCTTTCTGAGAAAAAATACAAAAACTGCAATGTTAGAGTATACTAATATATAAAACCTAAAAATTTGGTTTTTGGTCATATGAACGCGGGCGGAGCCGCGGGCAATGCTAGTTATTTATATATTTGATTAGTTTACAAATATATGATGTCAAAGTTATATGGGTTCACAAAATTTACAAAAAGCCAGCTATATAATAATATATAGCTTTATTAAAGAAGTAAAGTTACTCAAGAGTGTTCGTGTAACTTAAAATACATATATCAAATATTCTAATGTACTTACTTTAGAAGCCATTATTGTTGACTGAACTAAGTTACTAAATTTCAAGTCCAATTTATACACTTTTTGAGTTAATCACGTACATTAAAGTTTCTTTTATCAACAAAAGACTTCCTGAAACATGTCAACTTTCAAGACAATAAAAATACAAGTAACATTGTAGAGAAATAAATGTTTTTTGTTTTTTTATAGGGAACTAGCGACTCATCCTCGCTCCGCTCAGTTTTGTCCTACTTATGTTTTAACGTTTAGTATAGATTTCTCAGAATTGAGATATTTTCCCGCGGTAAAAAGTATTCTATATGTTGACCCATAACCAGCTATCACCATATCAAATTTCATTAAAATCCGTCCAGTGGTTTTTCCGTGATGCGGTAACAGTCAGACAGACAGAGAGATAGACAGACAGACAAAAATTCTAAAAACTATAGATTCCGCCTCTGTATCGATAATAATGTCTATTTCAATAAGATTTTTCAAAAAATATTTCATGTACAGAATCGGTTCAGTTAGAATTTTATTATATATAGGGTAAAACCCGGATAGTTGCCTCAGTGGGATACATGCCCCGGTTTTCAATATGCTATATTAGAGATGTCCCTGATGTTAGCGCTCTTCTGTAATTTGAAGCGCCTCTTCCACAGACCTTAGGACCATGCCAGTAGTAGGACTAGGTAAACGTGTTTTCTCCGTGTGAGCGAAAATCTTTCGCGGCAGAACGAGCGTTGAAATTATATTTGTGTGTATTTTCCATTGAGTTTTTTTTACAGTTGTCGATTTGATACTGAAGCTTAAATTACACTACCTATTTATTACCTTAAACTGTCGAATAACATTTATTTATTTTTCAAAATATAAAGGCAAGTATCAGTGCCGAAAAGGATAGTCGCCCTATATAATTTTGCGGATAGTCGCCCTAAGGACAATTAGTGTTGTAGGTAGGCGGAATGGCTCGCAAATATGAGTAAGAACTTAGCATGTTTAAAAGGGCTAAATAATCTGCAGAAGTTTTAAATTTTAAACGAAAAAATTGTCCAAAAAAAGGATAAAGAAGAAGTAACAAACATTACAAAAAAGTACTAGAATGGAGACAACGAAATAAAAAGATTTTAAGACAGTAAAAAATAAATCAGCTGATAGCGAGATTATAATTATGAAGAAAAGGGGTCGAAACGAAAGTAAAAGATCAAAAAATATGTCGATTTCTCTCGCAGTGGAACAGAATTAGAGCTGACAAATAACAAACTTATAGTTCCGAGAGTGAAAATGAAAAAAAGCATAATAAATATATAAATAGACAAAGAAAAAGCTACTAAAGGAGTAAAAAAGAAGAGAGAAAATGCAAATGATAAAGTTTCAGTTGATGATTATTGTAAATGTTTCGACAATTACAATAATACTAATTCCAAATCATACTGGATTGTATTTCCAGGAAACTTGTTCATCATTCAAAGAATATTGTGTGAGATGTGGAAAACTAAAAGTTATGGCTTTGTCATTGATGATGATTTTTAAACTTTTTTGGTTATATCCGCCTACCCACTAATTTTAATATTAGTGACAAAGTTGATTATCATATTGTTTTTATCTATAAAGTTAATTATTATATATAAATTAAATTTTGGAGATTTTATTTGTATTTTAAAAGTAGTATCGTATAATATATAGGTTTCGATTAGTACCTACTTAATAAATTGATGTTAATAATTAATAATGGTTGATTAAATTTACATAAATTTGTTTTAATCAAAAAAATGCAGCAATTTCATTATGAGTCTACTATTCCCGCATGAGTCAAGTATCCCAAAATCCAAAGCATTTTTAACATAAGGCAACTATCCGCCACAGAGGGCAACTATCCCCTTTTTTAGAGGTCAAATAAAACAGGATTTACTGAAAAACAATATTAATTATGTTTAAAAAATAGGACACAATAAAAGATTAAAGACCAATGTTTTATTATACACGGGGCATATTGTAAGTACATACAGATAAACAAACAAACAGCCATACAGACGAACAGACAAAAAATAACTATTGTTTTGAGTCTATATTGTGTAAATAATACGTTACAGTCATTGTTTTTAAAAAAATACAAATTTCGCTAAGTTACTGTTTTTTAAATAAAACATCTTTTCGGATTTTTCCCGGATTTATTTGGATTTTTGGTTCCCAACGTTTCGAATGCTTTACAGCATTCATGGTCACGGGAGATACTGAGATGTTGGATGTCTCGAAGGTATAGTTGTTACAGATGACCAAAAATCCAAATAAATCCGCGAAAAAATCCGAAAAGATAGTTTTATTTAAAATGTCAAATATTCGGTTAAATCTAAGAAAGTATTAAGTTACTGCTTTATCATAGTATAGATTTTTCTAAAGTGTGAATGGCACACACACGTACTTTTTTAACCTGATTTTTGCTCTCGTAGATTTAATAAAAAAAAATTAATATTTTATTATTATTAATATTTACTATCGTTTCTTTATATTGTACTTCCCCATATTGTAAATATTTGTAGCTAAATCTGAAGTAGGATAGTGGATTGGTTGCAAGAAATATATGTATTATGTTCATCTTCCAATTGACCTATCTGCTGATAGTAACAGGGATTCGCGCATATTCCATAAAAATGAGAAGGAGAAAAGGACAGAAAACATTTTACATTAAAAATTAATCTTAAAAAATCATTAATTGCACACAGTTACGACGACACGTTTGGCTCAGTGTGTAGTGACCCTACTTGCTGTGCTAGCGGTCGCGGGTTCGAGTCCCGCTAGGGGCATTCATTCGTGTGATGAGCACGAATGTTTGTACTCCAGTCATGGGATTTAAATACATACATATTTATAATATGTATGTATTTTAAATAAAACTATCTTTTCGGATTTTGAGACTGATATATCTCTCCCGTGACCATGGATGCTGTAAAGCATTCGAAACGTCGGGAAACAAAAATACAAATAAATCCGCGACAAAATCCGAAAAGATAGTTTTATTTAAAATGTCAAATATTCGCGTAAATCTAAGAAAGTATTAATATGTATGTATTTAAAGTTTATATATGTGTAGTGTAGCAACTGTCTGGTATTCATAACACAAGCCTCGTAGCATATCATGGAACTAGATGGTGCTGTGTGTTAATGTCCAACATGTTTATTTATTTATTTATTTAGTTATATTTTATCTTCTTTCTCTTAACTCGACTTCCAACATGAAGAGGGATTATTTTTATGTCATATTTACCGATTTCTAGACGAAATTGGTTACTTCAAATTATATATTATTAGAGTAGATACCGAAGCGGCCCCTTATCTATGTCACTCTAAGTGGTCCTAGATTTGTATTTTTTGAAATGCACTTCAATATCCCATAAATTAGAATTAAGTTATGAGCTCTTATCTCAAATATGAAAGACAGGCGTTTAAATATAATCGAACTATTAGTTTTTGTTACATCTTCAAGCATATTAGTTGTTGTTTCTTTATCCTAAAATGGCGTGATGGATGTGGATGAAATTTAGTACACAAACAAATAGATAGGCAAAAATTACCTAGAGTAGTAGAAACATAAAGGCTCTTAGTACCTAGGGATGCACTCGGCGGTTAGTATTTCAGTGACAAAATCAGTCTTTTTTGGTGTAAGCTCCACTAAGTTTGCAAACAAAATACATAAAAATACACTTTAGAAATGGTGTAACACTTGTAAGAACCAATGTATGATATATTTTTTATAATTAATGTTATAAAGAGGTAAACTTTGTGATATTGTGAGTTTGTGATATTGAAGGGGGTAATCTCTGGATTTACTGAACCGATTTTCAAAGTTCTTTAACCAACAGAAAGCCACGTTCTTTCTGAGTATCATAGGCTGTATATTAACCCGAAGAATGAAAAGTTTTCTCGTGATGCGTTCCCAAACAGACAAACAGACAAAAATTCTAAAAACTATAGATTCGGCCTCTGTATCGATAATAATGACTATTTCAATAAGATTTTCAAAAAAATATTTGATATACAAATTCGACTCAGAATTTTATTATATGTATAAAAGATATCATACAGAATCTTTTTTTCACAAGTCATCACATAATTCAATTATTTTCTTTACCACTGGAAATGTTCTCATTACCACGGGAAAACACGTTATAATACAAACGAAAAATTATTTATGATCAGAATTACATAAAACTTGATATG